GAAGAGTTTCCTGTTAGCAGATGTACCCTTTTCAATACATCTCCTCATCTCCTGACTGCTGATAACAAGGATGTTAATTGTGGATCCAAGTATGATGAAATCTGTGACAATGACAATCTTTTCTCCATCTATCATGATGTTGCTTATTGGTCTAGTGGTGAAGATTTTTGTCTACTTGATATTGAAATGCTATCTGTATTGAAGTCTTTGATCCTTTGCAGTAAGCGTTTCTAGTCTTTGGTTTTAAGCAAGCAAGTTGTGTCATCTGCAGAGTGCAGGTTGTTGATGTGTCTTCCTCAGATCCTGATGGTGACATTCTTCTTCATAGAGTCCAGGTTCTGGGCTCTATGATAAGTGCAGGGGGTATGTTATCTTATTCTTTGTACTCCCTAAATGAAATCCTTTCCTGAGATGATAAATAAAACATCCCATGAAACATACAGAAATCGTGCTGCTCCGCAGGGCTCTGGGTGGGACAGTGGGTGTTGACCGAGTCCTGGCTGCCGCTCACCAGCTGTACGTTTTTGGTGGGGCCTCAGCACTGGTGCCTCAGTTAGTTGCCTGTTATTGAGAAATGCTCACCGTCTGCCTGCCAGGGAAGGGCAGTGCCTGCTGCTTGCTTTTCCCATCCACCCCACCTAACCCACTTCCTATGTCCACACGAGACATAGGGAGCCCTGGCTGATGATGGGAGGGAGCAGCAGCACGGCCAGGTGGCTGGTGTAGAGGAGACTGGGCTAGCATGCTGTGTGCTGTGGACATCTGGGGTGGACATGACTCCTTCCCTATCAATGTCCAGTGGGGGCGAACACATCCCCTTGGCCTTCATGGGTTCTCTGTCTAGAATTCATCAGGAGTCATCTGGAGTCCTGTTTGTCCACTGGGCACATGCAGGGTGAGACTGGCACGAGGCCTATTACTCAGGGTGCCAGACCCTCAGAGTTAGATTTTGTGAGCCCTTCGGGAGTCATTGGTGGGAAGTTCTTGTTTCATGTAGGGGGCACCCAAGATTGAAGACGGCGGTTGATATTCCACATCACACAGCCTGTGTCCTTAGGAGGAGCTCCTTGTTCTCAGAGCCAACTCCTGGCGGCCAGGCCCATGTCCTGCACGCCAGAACTTTTGAGCTTCTAGGATGTAGGCACCAAGGACACCGGGGAGTCCTGCCACCCCGGGAGGGGCAGAGGGTGGCCAGACAGTGCCCAGGCGAGAGTCGACCTGGGGACCATGGCCAGGACAGGGCTGCAGTCAGTGTTACCCCAGGGCCCCGAAATGTCAGCCCACTGTGACAGGTAACAGAAAGGGTGCTTGGTGGCTCACAGCTGAAAAGGAATCTGTATCCTCCTCAAGGCTGCAGCACTGAGGTCTAGCAAGCAGCCCACCCTGAATTCATGCCTGTACTCCACGGGGGTGGGGGTGTATGTCCTCGTCAGGACAGGCAGATTCCTTCCAGGCCCGCTTAGCTGTCTTTCCTCCCCTGGACCAGCAGCTGCCTGCCTCCCTTCTCGTCACACTGATGGCAGAGGCACAGGAAGGGTGGGCGGAAGCACTTGAGGCCTCTGGAGCCTCCGCTCAGGACCCATCTTGACGCTCCCACCCACTCCCACTGGTCACAGCAAGACCCAGTTCTGCTTAATCTGGGCAGGAGGGACCTCTGTCTCAATGGATGGGCTGTGGGGAAGGGCAAGGAGCTGGGATGTAAGGCAGGTCGCCACCAGCTCACTGCTAGAGCTGCTCTAACAAATGTTCATGTAAACCTGTCAGTGGCTTCAAAGAACAGATATGTATTGTCTGCTTTCTGGAGGTGACTCAACCTGTCAGCTATGTCTCCTCCTCCTGTGGCCTCTGTCCTGGTGTCACGGGTCCCTGGCATCCTTACCCTGTGCCAACATGCATATCTGTGCATCTGCTCTGCTCTTGTTAGGACTTTGCAGTGATTTGGTTTGGATCCACCCTACACTGGTGTGACCTCAGTAACACTAGAAAATCCTCAATTTCCAAGCAGTCATAGACAGGTAGACGGGTTAGGGCTTCAGTGCAGGTTGTTTGGGGAGTCAGTTCAGTCCATTATACACTCCACAGGCTGAGAGCCGCTCTGTGGTGACCGGGCAGCTCCTGGGAATGTCCTCGTGCAGATGAGAGAACTGGGGCCCAGGAAGGTCAATGACAACTGCTGCGCCCATTCTAGGGGGCCTGCTCTGGGGCTCCCAGATCCCTGTGCCAACCTAATGCCTGCTCTGGGCTTTCTCCTAGTCTGGTGGAGCTGACTTTGAGATGCAACATTTCCAGAATGTCTGAAACTGTGCCAAAGTGAAAGTTCGTTTTTGGCTAAATTTTGGAATTCTAGAGGCAAAAAAAAAGTATCTCCATGTAATACTATATTTTTAGTGCTAACTGGTGCTAAAGGCATTTTTAGCACCCCGTGGAGAGCGAGTCACTTGGTTAGTTTAGGAACAGAGCACTTGTCGTGCTGTGTGCCACCTGTTTTTGGAAACACACCCTGCAGGACGCGCTCACTTGCTGGCCGGAGCTGGTCGCTTCCAGCAGTGACCACATAAACATGCCTTCCCAGGGCAGCTGCTTTAGGCCGGAGCAAGGCTCTGGCCTCAGGCCTGGTATCTCGTCTGCTCTGTCAAGTTCAGCATATCGAAGGAGGATGAAAGAAGCCAGACAGTGAGGAATCCTTTTTATTTCTATCTAGCGGATTAGAAATGGGCTTCCGGACATCTAGAGCCAGGCCTGAAGGATTACTGTCAACAAGCATGGTTATCCAATGTCCTTAGCCAGCCATGGGCCAGAAAAGCCATCCCAGCCAGGGATATGGAAGGAACTATCTCCTGGAGTCTTCCAGGAAGGTGTCTTTAGTCCTTGGGAGACAGGGAGAGTTGGTCAGCTCCAGACGATAAGTGATGGCTAGATCCTGGCAGCCATCATGTGTCCACGAGGGCCTGCCTGAAAGGAATGCTGACGTTTACAGAGTCTCAGTTGTAAATGTGGCCTAGTCCTTAGGGAGTTGTGCTATTAATCCAAAGGCCGTGTCTCTCTGTGTTCAAATCCACTAGGGACTGCTTGGGATAAAAATGGGCAGTCTGCTCCAGGGTGACTGACAGTCTTGAAAAGCCACTGGAGGATCATCTGAGCCAGTGACCTCAGCAGTGAGAACTGTACATGTAAACGCTGAATGCTCAGGCATTGGGGTGGAGCTGGGCATGAGGACGCAGCCTGAGGGCAAGAGAGCAGGGCTCATGGGCAGAGGACAAACCCTGAGGGGTGTCGGCTTGGCAAGGATCTGTGAATGGGCAGAGATGAGGGCAGGAAGAGGATGGATACAGTTGAGGTGTCAGCAGGGAGAGGTGTGTGAAGGGGCAGCCTGGTCTCCTGGCTGGAGAGCTCACAAGGAGGCCAGGTGAGGGGCTGCTGCCTGAGATACCTGCAGAGGAGGTGGGGCCGGGCTGGCCAGCCTGCTGACGTGAGAAGGAGTTGGGGTGAGGGGAAGAACACAGCATTTTTAGCTGTAGGACTGAGAACAGGAAAGGGAGTGTGCTCTTGGACTGACGTGGGCCTGGGAGGGTGTGAGGACACGTATACGTCAACCTGGGCCCATGTGGGAAGACAGTGGCCACCCCTGGTCTCCAAGGTGGACAGCATGCTCTGGTGGCATATGAGAGAGAACTGGGTGATGAGGTAGAGTCCCCAGACTGGTCTGGCTTGGTGAGGAGCCCTACTCACCCAATCCCAGCAAAGACCACATGCTCTTAAGAAACATCCAGCGCTTTATTAAATAACCAGGTAGAAATGATCGTATTGACATCCAGGTTGTCATTGTAGGCTCAGGTCATTGCAAGGCACGACGTTTCCGTTTGGTAACAACCCCCTTAGCCTCACCCCAGAGGGTGAAGACCAGCTCCAGTCAAAATGGACTCTTGAGATGCGGTGTCCTCGCTGACTGGCTCTGGGCTGAGTCGCTGGGGCCTCCAGCTGGCCGTCTCCCCTCTAGGAGCGGACAGCACTCAGCTTTGAGGAGCTTCACTGCTGAGTGAGGCCCGTCCTGGGGGGTAGCCCTCCTCCCTGGCCATAGGCCACGCGGGGGGCCTGTGGGAGCTGCCTTGAGGGGCTGGGCCCAACTGCTGACCATGGGGCCACCTCTCACAGGGTGGGCAGGGGCTCAGGTCTGATGAGGTCCGAGCGTAGTAGGGGGAAAAAAAGGACACATAACACTGTCTTTGTGCGAAGGCAAAAGAAAAAGGCTGCTCATACAAGCCAACACAAGGACCTGTGTCCAGCTCCATGGTCCTGATGGTGGCCTGACTCTCGGCCAAAGCAGAGGCCAGGCCTGAGAGCAAAGGCCCCCTCAGGCCCCAGGGGCAAGGTTCACAGGACGTCCCATTCACAAAGCAAAGAGACCACAGGACTGAGGTCTGGTCACAGCAACCCAAGAGAAGGAGGATGTCACCCGAGCTGTGAAGGCGGATTTCTAGTGTTCCCACCCTCGGGCTGCAGGGTGGTTCCTGAGTCTTGTACACCTGAGGCTGGGAAGGACTGGGCGACAGAACACAAAGCATTATAGCAGCCCCCTAACAAGTTTTACATGAGGAAGTGCCACAGAAATGAAAACAGACTGACAGCTCCCTTCCCTGAGAGTGCCACCATCATCGGCAGACAACGAAGCGGGGCTTCTGACAGTGGGGTGTCACCCAGGGGGACCCCAGAAAATCAAGCATACAGGAGCGAGCCAGGGTACAGGAATGAGCCGGGGGCTGAGCTTCGCAGGACTCCAAAGGAAAGACAATGGACCCTAAACTCCTACATTGAGAAGCTGCCTGCAAGCGGAGCCTCGGTCACAGCTCCATCAGAAGAGATGATGGCGGAGCTGGCAGCGGGAGGGCCCAGGGGCAGGGACCGTAGCACAGGGTGCAGGCGTGGGGGCTGGGCGAAGGGCCTGCGTGCGGGGCTGGCTTATTGGACGCCACTGGCACCAGTTCTGCGGCTCAGCCAGCTGTCTAATGGGAGGCGTAGGCCTGGCTCCACAGCCCTGAGGGAGGGCTGGCTTTGCGACTGGGAGGCAGCGCGTTTAAAGAAGGTGGTGAAGAAGCAGCAAAATCTGGAGGGGGGATAAAAAAGAAAAGATGAAGTGAGCCGCTGGGCAGGAAAGGGGCCGCCTTGTTCCTCAGGTGTCCGCCATCAGCATCTAGCACCTAGGACGTGTCCCCAAGGGTCCTGGGCCAGGAGGCAACCACGGAGGCTCACAGAGCTGGCCCTGACATGGGTGGAGCGGGAGTGGACTGGACCAAGCAGTGGGCAGGGGAGAAGAGGACCAGGCTGCTGGCCCATGTGGCAGTGCCTTCAGGGGGCCCCAGGAAGCGAGGACTTTCTGCTCTTGCCCGATAAACAGCAGGCTGGTGAGGAGGGGCTCGTGTGAGAGAGAAGACCACCCGGAGCAGAGAAGACAGGCCGCACAAGGCCCCTGGGTTTGTGGAAGGCTCTAGGGTGACTTGGAAGCAATGCAGGGACCTCTCTGAGGTCCAATACACATAGGCTTGCTGGGATATGCAGTGCTAGGACTGAGAGGTCTCTGCAGAAAGAGCTGGATAAACGATGGAGCGGTAAAGGAGGCAGCTATGATTCCAGGGACCCAGCATGTGTGTGGGAACCTTGTCACCTAGGAAAACATATCTCTGCCCTAAACCGGGGAACTCTGGTGGCCTAGTGGAAAGGAACTGTGCTGCCAACTGCAAGGCATGGCTTTTGAATCCACCAGCAGCTCTGCAGGAGAGAGATGGACAATCTCCTGTGTGATTTACTGCCTCTGGAAATCCGCTCGAGGGTCAGCTATGAAGTAGGTTCCGACTAGACTGTACACACCACCACCACCTCCACCTCCTCCTCTTCCACTACCACTTCCTCCTCCTCCTCCTCCACCATCACACCACCACCACCACCACCACCACCTCCACCTCCTCCTCTTCCACTACCACTTCCTCCTCCTCCTCCTCCACCATCACACCACCACCACCACCACCACCACCACCACACCTTCCTTGACGTCTGGCCCTGGCCCTGCTGGGTAGCAGAGAGTGGCTCAAAATTCCCATGTCAGGGCAAGAGTCCGTAAGTGGGAATCAGGAGATACAAGGGCTGTGTGTACAACTGTGCGCAGGCTGGACACTGTGGTTTCTATCCAGGGGGTAACCCCTGGAGTTGTGTAGCTCTGTCAAACTCTGGGGTCACAGGGGATGATGTCATGGCCAGGAGGAATGGGCATTCCCAGCCTTCTCCCTGAGCAGATCACCGGAGCCACCTTGCCTCTGGCCGGCACAGTGCAGCACTGACTGGGTCAAGCTGGTCCTCACCATCCCCTGCCGCCCTCTGCTGCGGGTGCCCACACCTGCCCTTGTGTCCAGACCCTCTCATCCAGGGACAGTCGGCTGATTCAGGGGGTTCTACTCACAGTTGAGGCTGGGCCTCAGGCTGGCTCTGGGCGTGAAGGCTGACATGGCAGCAGGCTCTCGGGGGGTGCAGACCGTGTGGTAGGCTACAAGACACAGGCCAGTGAGACCATAGCTGGGAGGAGTGGGGCTGAGGGTCAGGGTGGGGGTCACTAACGGGAGACACACAGAACCACCCACTCACCGATGATCATGACGGCGGTCCCAGCCAGTAGGGCAAACAGCGTGAAGAACATGACTTGGTAAGAATCCAGGAAGTGCTGGAAGAGCGTGGTCCCATCTACATGCCAACAGAGAAGAGTTTCCCAGATGTGGCAGGCTTGTGCCATGGCCCTGGGGCTGGGCCTCTGGGCAGGGAGGTTTCTGCAGCTATTAAAGAGTACACTCGGCCTGCCGGGGAGAGGCTGGGTGAGGTGCCTGGCATCAGCCTGGCGAAGCCTGTGTGACAACATGTACTGTTTTGGTTCTTGGTTCATTATACTTCAGGTGGGCTGTATCCTAAGCTCTGTCTTCACTACTTGTAGCTGGGGAAGACTAGTGAAAGCATTAATAACAAACACGATTATGGGGCTGGCAGATAGCAGCAGTTCTGTGAAGGAAACGAGGAGGACAGTGTTTAGAGACTGTAATTTTAAATGTGACCTGAGAGCTAACACTTGAAGGAAGATCTGGGAGAGGTGAGGACGTCAGCTGAGGGGCTGTGTTGGGAACAGTGCTGCAGGCAGAGGGAAGGGCACCTGCCCAGGGCTTGTGTGGGGCTGTGTCATAAACAGATCAGGAAGGCAGACAGTGGGGCCTGGGGCCTACGGGCGGTAAAGGACGCCTCCCTCTCAGTGCAGAGCAACCCTGGGGACATGGTTATAACTTAACAGGCTCCGTTCAACTGCCATGCTGCACACGGATTGGGGGTACAGGGGACGCAGAGGATACCCACCATCCTGACTGCCCCCTCACACCACACCGCATGTGACTCACGAGGCCCGGGCCCGCGGCGGTCCATCACGAAAGCCACAGTGACCGGAAGGGTGAGAGCTTGGTTGGTTGTGGGGCTAGAAAAAGTGAGGGCAGTGGTCAAGGGGCCCTGGCTGCCGGCGGTGGGGTCGGAGACGCTGACCGTGTACGTGACAAAGCTGGGCAGTCCGAAAGATTTGTCCTTGACGAAGGCCAGCACGGCAGGGGAGCCAGACTTTACCTGGGAAGAGGCTCAGTGTTGGGGTGGCCCGCTGCCCCGAGACTAGGGACTAGACCCTGGAGGTACGATCTTCTGAGTTCAGAGACAGTCCACCAGGCGCACCACACTCCCTCCCATGGCCCAAGGGGTCAGCGGCCACACCTAGACTCCAAGTCCTCTGAGGGTGATGGCATTTCCTGGAAATGTCTAATTGACAGCATGCCATTTGTAAAGGCAGATATTATTCTATGTACTACACCCAGGGTGATTTTAAGGAAAGAACAAATCATTATCATTGAATTCTAATAAAGTGCTCTTTTAAAAAATGAAATGCTAAACCAACAAAATAGCATTAAATGCCAGCTATCCAGGAGGAGCTGCAGCTCGGCCAGTGGGCTGGTCCCCAGCAGCCCCACCCTGGGCCTGTGTCCTAGTGGGGGAAACAGAGCTCAGTTTGCTACAATCACAGGAGACTAGGAGAAGACAGAGGAGCTGATGCACCCCTTCTCCAGAGCACATCAGATCCTCTGGGGGGACTCCAGGACCAGCGGGACTTGAGGATGGGGGTGGGTGGGACTCCAGGACCAGGGGGGACTCCAGCATCAGAGGGGATTCCAGAAACAGAGGGGACTCAGGATCAGAGGGACTCCAGGACCAGGGGGGAGTCCAGGACAAGGGGGACTCCAGGACCGGTGGGGACTCCAGCATCAGAGGGGATTCCAGGACCAGAGGGGACTCAGGATCAGAGGGACTCCAGGACCAGGGGGGAGTCCAGGACAAGGGGGACTCCAGGACCGGTGGGGACTCCAGCATCAGAGGGGATTTAGGATCAGAGGGGACTCCAGGACTAGGGGGGACTTGAGAACGGGGGGTGGGACTCCAGGACCTCGAGGAGGTATGGACACTCGGTTTAGGATTAGTGCTCTCATCTCTGTTCCGTGGCCTCCACACTCCCGCCCCCCATCACCTCCTGACATGAAGCATGAGGACCCCCACACCTCCAGGTTCTCCAGAATCTCCACGGCACCAAAGACCTTGACCTCAGAGCTGGTGTACTGGTTGCTCAGCAGGATTTCGGCCTCGTCAGTGTAGAGCCCTGGGCTGAAGGGCACCTCGGCCCCCACCTGCTCTCCGGGGAAGCTGCCAGCCAGGGAGGCTGTGACCACCAGGGTGGTCTTTCTCATGCTGAGGTGCTTCCGCTGCTTGTCCGACAGCCTTTGCATTACGACGGTGCAGAGGTATCGGCCTGCAGAGACAAAACGTCATCCCACCTGCCCTCCTCCTTTAACTAGGAAACTCCTGCTCACCCTTAGAGCCCCGGGCAGGCACCACAGCCTCCAGGTTCCCAGGGATCCCTCTCTAGGGTCCTGGCCCAGCTTGGACACCTTCTCTGCGGTCACCTCCCACCTCTAGCTGCAGTCTCAGAGTCCTCCCCTGGTAAAGTGACACTCCCTAAGGCAGGCCCACATCTAGTCAGCTCTACAACACAGGGACCAGCCAGCCTGGCCCAGAACATAGGAGAATAACTATTGCCCAGACACTAGGACCTGATAAGACCACAGGTTAAACCAGGTCTGATTCAGGACAGCTACAGCATAGGTGTACAGGGCAGAGCATCAGCAATGGGCCAGGTCGGTGGTACTTCCTAGGCCTGAATGAGAGTGGACACAACTGAGAGGGTGGAACACTGTGTACTGCCTGGAGCAGGGTTAGAGAGAGGAGGGGCACCAAGCACACTATCTGGAGCACAGTAAGTAGGAGGAGGGGCAATGAGCACACTGCCTGGAGCACGGTGAGCAGGAGGAGGGGCACCGAGCACACTGCTGGGAGCACGGTGAGCGGGAGGAGGGGCACCCGGCACACTGCCTGGAGCACGGTGAACGGGAGGAGGGGCACCGGGCACACTGCCTGGAGCACGGTGCATGCCGCACCCATTTCAGAGAGCAGAGAGGTGAGGAGGGGGTGGCTCCCATACCCACAGGCTTTGCACTAGCAAAAATCAGAGAAGGAGCTGGACTCGGGCCTCATCCCTGGGTGGTGCAAACACTTTGGCACTCAACTATTGAAAAGTTATTGGCTCAGACGCCATCAAAGACTCCTTAAAAGACAAGCCTGACAATCATATTCTCAAAGGTCATGGCCTTAAGAACACCACAGAGCAGCTCCATTCTACACACTCGGGGATACTGTGTGTTGGAATCAACGTGATATTACACTGGGTAAACCTGCATGCAGTTCAGGGGCTTTTTAAGGTGGGAAGACACAATGATGCCAACTTTAAAGACTGAGGTGCATATGATTCAAGCCATGGCCTTCTCGATTACTTGCTATGCATCCGAGAGCTGGACAATGAATAAAGATGAGGGGGGAAAATAGACCATCTTTGAACTGTGGTACTGGAGAAGAGTGGTGAATATCCCATGGACTATCAAGAGAACAAATAAGATGTCTCAGAGAAAATACTGCCAGGGTGCTCCTTGAAGGTGAGGATGGTGACAGGTTGTCTCACATGCTTGGGTATATTGTTAGGAGCCACTGATCCTTGGAAAAGGGCATCATTCTGGGAAACGCAGTGGTCAGTCAAAGAGTGGAAAACTCTCAACAAGAGAGATCAACAGTCACTGTAACAATGGACTGAAGTATTATCAGAGAAGATGAGAGCAGCACAGGACAGGGCAGGGTCAGATAGATCCATTGTTCATTGGGAGCTCTGTGAGTCACAGCTGACCTGATGGTTCCTAACAACAAGACAGTTAGATGCTAACAATCACAGCAGCCTGGCATAAACCTCCCAGTTCTCCCTGACAGCCATATGGTGCCAGGAGGTGAGGCCCGTCAATATCACTCTGTGGTTCGACTCTGGATAGCTTCTGCCCATCCAGACAGATGGCCACTGGGAGCCGGATATAAGGAGGCTTTGAGATATCTGAGGAGGAAGAGCCTCTGTTCAGGCAGTTTTAACTTTCAACTGTCAGAACACTTACCCTGAGCTACGTCAAACCCAGGTTCTGTGGTGAAAATGTCCCCTGCTGGGAAGTCAAAGACATCGTGCTTGAACTGGAGCTGGCAGCTGATGAGGGACTCTGGGTGCAAGTTCCTGATGATATCCAACTGGGCAGGAGAGCATTCGCCTGGAGGGAAGCGGAGGGTGAGAGGGCACAGAGGCCTGCAGCCTGGGGACAGAGTCAGAGACACACAGGCCAGCTCCTCCTAGAGCCCCCCGCCCAGCCCTCCCGCCCTGCAGCACTCAGCTTATAAAAGGAGAGGGCAAACTATACAGGGAAGGGGCCCATTCTGAAAGGCGGACCACTTCAGATCATCGCCAGGTGTGCTGGGGAGTGTGTATTCAAGGACACAGCACACAGGCTGGACGCTAACACACATCCCGGTGCCTGTCAGCTGGGGGACACGGGCAATTTGTTTCTTAGCGCCAGTGAGCACTGTCCCCTGTGAAGACACTAGGTACCCGCAGCCCTGTGCGCTTGTACGAGGAGAGAGAGAGATGTTTCCACGCTGTCATAACGATGCCTCATTAATCAGAGTGAGAACAGTGGTAATTAATTTTACCAGTTAAGTGGGTTTTGGGGCTTGTTTTTAAAATCTGCCCATATTGATTTATTTATTTCGGGTTGCTACTATCCAGGGCTGTCACGGGCAGGGCTGTCTGTTGCACGCGGGACTTGGGAGAGGTAATTATAAAAATCAAGATCAGCGACAGGCCCTGTGAAGTCCTGTTTCTAGGATTAATGGTACTGAGTTGTGGCTCTCTTTACCCGGGCCCCCCCGAGGGCTGACACAGCATGTTCAGCTCAGGAACCGAGATATCAGTGTTCTCTGAGAAAGGGGCCTTCACTGCCACTGGGGAGCACTTCCTACAGTGCTACAGAGTGGGAGATGGGCCCGAAGCCCTGCCCCTCTGGAGCTGGGCTGAGTCAGAGTGAGAACCGTGGACTCAAAGCCCACCAGCAGGACACAAGCGACTTCCCGTTCCTCCCCCAAGGCCTCAGACCCCCAATCCTGCACCTCTGAGGTTAGAGCTCCTGTCTCCCAAGGTGACGGTCACTCTGGAGGCAGCGACCTCCTGGGAGGAGCCGGAGTGGACAGCATGGATGTGACGGGCCACGACCCGCGACGGAGCAGCAATCGTGATCTGGGGGGAGGGGTGGGAAAACAAAGCAATGTTGAGGGTCCTATGCGCAGCAGCACACGGACATTTCCATGACTACATGGGACAGCCTGAGAAGGCTCATTTCAGGGGTGACAAACAGGCTTGCAGCTCAAATGACCTGCAGGAACAACTGGAGCAGAGATGAGAGGCCTGACCAGTCAAGTCTGCTAGTCCAGGGCTCTGTTACCACAGACCAGGGAGCCTTACACCTGGGTATCTCTGCCCACCCCGGGGGTTCAAGTACCGTCCCTCCTCTGCCCACAGCCATCCTCCCTGTAGCTTCACATGCACAGCCCTGTGATGACCTGGCCACTGTGCTTGGAGGGGCCATTCCCCTCTGCACCATGCTAGATACACGTCTCCCTTGTTAAGAGCCCTCACCCAGTGTCCCCTCAGGCCTCTCTCAGTGCAAGGCACCGTCTTCAACATCATCCTCCAAGCCAGATGCTGGCGGTTACCTCAAGCCCTCCTCCTCCACCCCATTTCCAAATGTCCACCAACCTCTGAGAACCCTCCCTTCTGGGCCCTGTCTCTGCATCATGCCTCAGTCCTTGCTGAGGGCCCATCCCCCAGTCTCCCTACTAGTCACCCTGCCCCCATGGCTGACTTTTCCTCTGCTCTGCTTCTATACAGAAAACCTTCCTGACGTCTCCCTTCTCTTGCAGGAATGCTTCCTTCCCACTCTGAAACACTAGTGGCAGTAGCTAATACCTCCTGAAAACACTCACTCTACGCTAAATGCTTCACTTAAACCATACCCACTTGACAGGCAAGAAACCTGAGGGGCAGAGGTGAAGCAACTGTTCCACGTCACGCAGCTTCTCCCCGGCTAAGCTAGGAGGGCCTGACTCTAGAACCTGCACTTTCAACCACAGTCCTGAACATCTAAATCAAAGCTGCTCCAGATGAGGCCACAAAGCTCCCCCCCCTTTCCCCTCTCCACATCGCCACATCGACTCTGTTCTTAAATTGACTCTGTGCCCCTCCCCCTGCCATGCCACCTCACGGGGGCTGACGACTCCCAGCAGCTCAGGCTCTCCAGGAGGGCATGGCTGTTTCAGTCATTAGGGGCCTCTGCCCGCAAGCGTCTTGGCCCAAACAGCAACCGTGCACCGAGTACGTAAACTATTAGGTTAAACCGCTCAGTTCGATAGAGCACACACTGGCTCTAAAAATGAGATGCATTTGGAACACAGCCAGACTTTCTTCATCGATTCATTCTCAGTTGGAGATAAACAGAAGAGATGGCGGTTTTGTTCACCTCCAGAAAGATCCAAAGGTGTCTCGCGGGAGGAGGTTCAACTTTCTGGGAGTGATCACTTCTGACCCACCCACCCTTGTCTTGGGGCAGCTCCCCATCAGGTGCCATCCTGGGGGGCCACCTTGTCATCACACCATATCAAGGCAGGGATGGGCTCCTAAGAAAAGGGTGTTTGCTGTGGGGATGAGTGGGCAGCAGAGTCGCGGCTACAGCCCGATCTCAGCCCTGGAAGGTGGTCTGAAATGGAAGGGGCCCATCATATTTTAGAGCTGAGCATCCGCTCTGACAGCACCAACCTACCTCCTTGTAGGTGCGTAGGAGCCCGGCTACCTCGTAGTACAGAGTCACGGCTCCCACGTCCCGGGCCACGGCCACGCCTGTCTTAGGGTTGACATGGAGGGTGCCGCTGGCAGAGGAGCTCCAGGTGCCTGAGAGGCCTGACAGGGAAGACTCTGATATCACTCATTCCCATATTCCCACGTGTGGACACTCCAGCCCAATCCCACCTCACCCAGATGACCCCCAGCCTCCACCAGACTGGATGACCTGTCCCTTCTCCCCTGCCACCATCCCAAGGAGCTTGCTGATGACCTGTGTCCTGTCCCTTAAGGGGGCTGCTGCCCCTATGTGCATTAATCTGATCAACAGCAGCTCCCACTGCCAACTACTCGGCTATGGCACCTACTGAGAAGGGTCCCTTGTCCCTCCTCCCACGCCAATGCTGCCCACTATGTGCGTAATGTTGACTGCCCTCCCTCCGTGCCCCAGGACCTGGGTGCTGGCCCGCAGCCCCTCCAGGACTTCCTTCTCGCCTGATAGTTCACTCCCTCTCAGAAAATACAAAGTAGGGGTCAGTGCAGAGTTGTCCTCAAACAACAGTTCTAAGTCCTAAGTTAAATACACTGAACAACAAATAACAAATTGAAAAACTTCAACACCATGGTTCTAGCTATGAAAAAATACTAGCTACCAAATTAGAATGAAGTGGAACAGAAATGTCAGCTCCCCAGAAGCATCAGCCACATTCCCAGGGGCTATCTTATCACTGTGCAGCTACAGGACATTCCCACAGCAGCAGGACATCAGAGCAGACATCAGAGTCCCTGGATAGGACAGTCTGTGCTCAGTTGCTCACGGAAAGACTTGGCGGTTCAAGCCCACCCACAGGCACCTTGGAAGAAGAGGCTGGCAATCTACTTCTGAGAAGCCAGCCATCAGAAACCCCATGGAGACCGGTTCTATTCAGACACACAGCACAGGGGCGCGTGGGGTCAGGGTGGGGGAAGGCACCATGAATTGGAATCAACAATGACCAACTCTTTGTGGGTTTTTTCCTGTTTGTTTTTTTTTTTTTTAATTCTAGAGCTCAAAAAACCCCCTTCATTGCCATCAAGTCAGAACAAGCTCACAGCTGATGCTCCGGTGGACTTTCAGAGGTTGGAAATGGGAGGGGATTGCTCATCTTTCTCCTGTGGAGCTGTTTGTGGATGTGACCACTAGACAGGCCACAACTTTAGGTAAGCAGGGCAATTCTCTATAGACTCCTGCAAAGCGCTCAGGAGTAAATACTCCCAGTTTTGGGCTATGTGGTTTCTGTTGTCTATGCTGCCACTGTGGTGTGAAAACAGACATTAACAATATGGGAACTGGTATGCTGCGTGCTAATAAAACTTTATTCACAGAGCCAAGTGCAGGCTGGACCCAGCCTGCAGGTGCTGGTGCTTGGAGCCATGTCTTAGAGCATCATCCAGGTTCTGCTCTCTGTGCTGCAGCCATCCTACCTGGGGACGTGTGAAGGTGGAAGAAGGTGTCCCTTCCTAGTATGTGTCATACCTTCCTGGCTGATGAGGGTGGAGGACAGGCAGAGGACGTCCCCGACGCTCACACCTCCAGGCAGCTCCGGGGAGATGGCCTGCAGCACCGGCAACGGGACAAAGTCGGCAAGGCCCACGTGCTGCGTGTCCCACACACTGAGCAGTGTCAGGCCAACGCTGATGGAGCGGATGACGCAGGTGTTGTTGTTGGTGCCCTTTCCAATCTGCACAAAGTCATCCCTAGACAGAGAGAGACTGAGGCACTCAGCCCCGGGCACGAGGGGCTGCTGTGCCTCTAGGAGGGAAGCTATTAGCTAAGCCTCTGATGCCGCTCAACCTACTTTCACCAGGCAGGCCAAGGGGCCACCACTCAGCACAGGACTGGGTCCTCAGGGGGGGCTGCTGGCAGCATCACCCCTATTCCAGAAGGGAGACCCACTGCCAAGAAAGCAGTGTGATTACAGAGTCCCTTCTGCCCTCTGTCCCTTCAGTGTCCCAAGAAGGCAACAAAGCGTTTGGACAGAGCACAGGCTGCCCTTCCCCGCGAGGTGAGGCTGCAGCAACCTCTCGGTCACTGCTTTGTCTACACTGTGGTTGTGAGCCAACTCATGACAACGAGGCAATCTGCCCATTCCATGCGTCCCATTACGGGCTGCAAACTGGACCGCACCTGTATGTCAAAAAGACTCAAGAACTGCCCTTGGAATTGGATGGAACAGAATCCCATCCCTACTTATTGGCTACGTGGTCCTGGGCCAACCGCTTACCCACTCTGAACCTCCACAGATGTCCACAGCAGGGGATTAACGAGCTGTCAAGGGGAGGAGGCTCCGTCACAGCAGGCGGGTTCACCCTGGATTCTTTCTGCACTTACTCAAATGGGTATTCTGCAGATCCTACCTGTTAGTTGCAAAGTTGAGGACGGAATTGTGTGCGTCGAAGATGTCTCCCGAGCTGTCATGGAAGTGGACAGTGAAGGTCATGGTCATTCCCAAAGGTAGGGCCGGCAATGGCTCCTTGTTGTGAGTGTGCAGGACGGGGCTCATGGAGAGCCTCAGGTAGGAAACAGGGGACACCTGGGGAGAGGAGCAAGCATGATGCCATCTCCACACTGAAAACTGGCCTCCCCAGAGACCGCATGACAATGGCTGGGCTGGCCCTGCCCCCAGAGCAGCCCAACCTGGCAACAAGGTTCATCTCCTAATACACTGGGGACAGCTGACACAGAGAAAACCCACAAGAGTCACAGCCCAGATGACAAAAATAAGATCATTACTCACGTTGTTAAGAATCAAGCCCCTTGCACACTCATGTTATTGCTGCGTTATTCACAATAGCAAAAAGACAGAAGCAACCCAAATGCCCATTAACAAAACACAGCACTGAAAAAATAAGGAACTCATAAAATATTACACAACATGGGTCACCCTGAAGGACACTATGCTAAGTGAAATATCTCAGCCACAAAAGGACAAATACTGCATAACACCAATGTTATAAAACAGGACTGTTGTGGGGGTTGGGGTGAAACTAAGAAAAGAGGGGATAAATAATGCACCCTGCATTGGAACAGGTAAAGGAAAGAACTGTTTAAATGGAATATATGATTAGGCATTATTTGTATGACAACAGTTTAGAATAAGTGGTGCATAGCAAAGTGGACTAGGCGGCTGGAAGAGGGAATAAATTGTACAACCATGAATGAGTATTTTCCTTTAAAAAGTGAAGTGGGGGGTAGGGAGGATAATGTGCAATAATGAATTAATGAAAATCCAACTTCTCTGTAAACCTTTGTTAAAATCATAATTTTAAAAACCCCTAATAATCAACCCTTGTGGTTTGTATGTTCAGCCTCTCGGAGGAGGGGCTTGCTCTATCAGTGGGCTCAGTACAGGTGTGTCCTCACGCAGTACAGGTGTGCCCTCAGGTACAGGCACAGAGCTCCCAGGGGCCTCTGAGGAAGAGCACAGCTGAGTGCAGCAATGGGCAAGGAGGGAGGGAAGAACTAAAGCTTCAAAAATGGCAAACGTGAGTCTCTGACTTCAGTAAAAACCACGCTCTCATCCCCCGCCAAGCCTGCATGCTGACGACAAGGTCTAGTGGTCCAGTGTCTGGTCTATGGGGGCGACTCGAGTATGTGAGATAGGATGAGCAGGGGAAAGCTTTCACTTTCAGGAACTTAGGTCAGGGGTTCCCTGCCAGGCATCCACCTGGGAATAGGAAAACTGGAATCTGGCCTGGGAACCAGGCTGAGCTTGAAAATTGCAATGGAAATGTATGCTGTCATCTAAAACTCAGCAAGAGGGTATGACAAGACAGGAAAAGGACACTGTGTTCCAGAATGAACGCTGGGATCCAACCTAGGAAAGGCCAGTCTACTCTCAAGAAGAAAGTCTCCTTAACCGACGAACATGAAGGCAGCCCGACCACAGGGGGCAGTGTGCTGTCATGGGAAGGACACTGGGTTCTAATCCAGGCCCAGACCCTAAGTCAAGCGTGACTTTCGACAGGTCACTTCTATTCTGGGTAAGGCTCCATTTCCCGGTCTATAAAATGGGTAGATATCACCTAGTTACCAAAACTGTAATGAGGATTGCATGAGAGGGCGTATTAAGAAATCTAGTATGTTCATTCAGTGCTCCTAGGAATTTCTCACGTCCAGGTACTGGGCAGCAGAGAGTACAGCCCATCAGCCAGTAGGGACAATGGTCATGCCTGGGGGGGACAGAGCTCCAGCCTGCCTAGCAGGCCTCTGGATGTCAGCTGGAGCTCTGTGTCCTGACCGTATCAGACCTCAATTTCTCCATCTATGAGGTGAGCACGTGGGATACATAATCTTGGAGGGAGAGCCAGCCTGGACAGGCAGAAGCCACTGTAACAGTGCCTCCAGAGGTTCTGGCTTTGAATCAGTCTTAAAGAAATTTTTCCAACTTCTCAGCTGGCTGGCGTATATATTCATTGTCACATTCGCAAGAGGAAAACTACTACCTCAATGCCATGGCGTAGGACTCCAGAAAGAAAGGCAATGCCACCCTACCTTCACAGCAACAATGATGGTCTGGTTGGCCCCAAAAGGCTCCTGGGCAATCACTTCGACGGTGGACGTCCCGATCATGGATCCTGACACCAACAAGCCTTTCTCGTCAATGTGCACAACTGGAACCTTCTCGGGCCCTTCCAGAATGCGGTAGTTTAGAGACGCTGCACCATCCCTTTGGAAAACAAAGCAGATCTAATGTTACAGAAAGCAAGAGCGTGTGTGTTCCCGTAAGAGGTCAAGACCACCGCACACGGAGTGACCCTCTATCTCCCAAGTGACCCTCTTAACTCTACCATGCACTCAGAGCCAAGTGCCACCAGTCTGCAGCCCCATGAGTCACTGAAGGAAAAAGACTAACATGGAGAACCAACATTTCCACACCGAACATCACTCCTTGCTCTTGTGAGAACAGCAGCCACCGTGAGAGAAGCATGGGAGGTTTGTCGCTCAACAGATATATGAGATGCTGTTGTTATGTGACATTGAGTCGCCTGTGACTTATAGCACAACGGCTCTGAAGCCTGCTCTATCCTGAGCCAACCTCATTGTTTCTGACACATTTTCTCCAGTCACTGTGTCAATCCATCCCATCTGGGGTCTTTCTCTCTTGTACTGTCCCTCCACCCTTCCAAGCATAATGACATTTTCCAAGGATTGGTACCTCCAGGCCACATGCCCAAAGTATGTGGATGGAGTTTGAAATTTCTTGTCTCTAAGAAGAAGTTTGGTTTAGCCCTCTCTAAGATAGACCTGCTTGTTCTCTTGGCAGTCCATGGTACGACCAATACTCTTCTATGATCCTTAGTCATTGTCCAGCTCTCTGATGCATAGCAAGTTAACTGCAAAGACCATGGCCTGGATCAAGTGCACTTTAGTCTCCAGACTGATATCATAGCTCTCTTTAGTGCTCTGGAGTGGTTACTCCCTGACAGCAGATTTTCTCAATACAATTCATCTTTTGATTTCCTTTATTGTAAAAGATGGTTTCTTGGTCAGCAGTGGTTGATTTACTGAGATAAGGCATTCTGGTGTATTGGAAAGGAGGTAGGACTTTGAGTTTGACAGAACTCAAACCCAGCTCTAGCTGTTGCTGAAAACTGCTGTGTCTTCCTTCAGGCCCAGCCCTTTGCCTCTTGGCCTATTTTCTTCTCTATGAAAGGGAAAGAGGACTTGACTCTGTGCTATTTCCAATGGCTGCTAAAAAGACAGAACAAGCTCCTCTCTAAGGGGTTTGTAAAAGGAATGGCTATTATACACTGAAGAGGAGACAAATTATACAGCATTTTGTAGTCCGATGTCTTGATCAATACAACAAAGGACTCCAGCCCCCAGGGTGGCTTTAAGGCATGTGTCTCTGAGCTGCAGCTGCATAGACCCTTTCGAGATGGTTCAGCACCTCTCCCTATAAACTCCTAGTCATCTTCAGACCCAGCGGAAACACTCCCATCTGTGACGTTTTTCCTCGGACATTGGTCCATTTCATGCTATCCTCCTCTCTTCCCTGTTAGACTCCTCAAGGACACCATATGTCACTCACATCTGCATTCCCAGAGCCCAGTGTTTAGGTAATTTTGGTGGAATCAATACTGTATGTGGCTAAGGGAACTTACGGTGGAGACTGATACTTGACAATAACAATGGGCAGGAGGATGATGGGATCGTGATGGAGGCCCAGGACAGGCCAAGGTTCAGATCTACTGTTCAAAAAGTCACCATGAGTCGTAGTTGACTCGATGGTTCCTCACAACGGCGACAACAACATTTTCTAGATAGTGCCCTGCCCCCACTTGGCAAGCACAGCTCTTGTTCAAGAGCATCATCCCCAAAGGCATCTTTAAACCAGAAGCAGGAATTACGTCGGTAGATGTACTTTAAAACAGGACTTGTCAAACATTAATGTGCACACTCAGCACCTGGGGATCTTGTTAAAAGGCGGCTCTTATGCAGTCGGTCTGGGGTGGTCCCAAGATTTACATTTTAACATGTCCCAGATGCTTCTGCTGCCGCCCGGACCATGCTTTGATTGGCAAGTCTTGAAAACACAGGGGCATTTGAAAATTTTAATGCTCTGACGCTGGCGCTTTTTTCCCCCTTTTAAATAATGAATATTAGCAGCCAGTACTAAAATGTTCCTAGGCTCCAGGGAGGAGAAGAGGCATGGCAGTGAGATGCCAAGCATGGGAGCAGGGGGAGTCAGTGGTGGAGAGAAGTCTGCATCCACTTCACATCCCCCACACCCAGGAAGATGCACCGTTCACCAAAGCAGTGTGGTCCTGATGAGTCTGACACTTGAGTTGCGGGGTGCGAGCGCGGCTCCCAGCCTTGTGGGGAAAGGAACTGAGTCACATACCTGTTTGTCTGAAGCTTTAGACACGAGTTGGGTGACATTAATATTTGCTCTGCTTCCATTTCAGGGCTCAGCAGCAGCAGTTTTTCAAACACCTAAAAGAGAAGGCAAGTTTATTTCCTGTGAGTTTCTGGGGATGCCAATTGTTAATGGAAAGGCTGGTGATCTGAGCCACCCAGAGATGCCTTGGAAAAAAGGCCTGGAAACCTATTAAATAATCCAGCCTCTGAGAACCCCGGAGAACGCAGTCCTACTGTAACACACACGGGTTTACCACAAGTTAGTGCTAACTTGAGGCAACCAATGTAATGATTTTGTTCCCCAATACACCAAGGTCATGCTCAGGTAACTTCCAGAGCCAAGAAGGGACCAGGGATAAAAGAAATGTTGCAAGTGAGCCACTAACTATTGGAGCTGGTGGTTTGACTGTCAAGGCTGTCCTAGTGGGGAAAAGGCAGCCTCTGACGTATACCCCAAGTGGGAGCTGCTTCTGAGAGCCAGAAAGGAGCTCCTCTCTTTCTGCTGGTAGCTGGGAGGCTGTGTTTGCGGTGTGAGGAAGTGGAGCAGGGCCTTGGTCAGCTCTTACCATGCTGTCTTTCCCTGTCCCAGGCCTCCTGCCCCTACCTGCCCACATCTCAAGGATAATTTCCCACTCATCCACCATCTTGGTCCCATCTCCCTTCCCCGAGCCCACTCTGCCCTGTCACGACCTGCACAAGTAGAAGGGAGTGATGGCGAGTTTGGTCTGGCAGCTAAGTCTGATGCTTGCAAGGGTCAAGTCCTCAGGGGCTCCAGGAACCCACAGGGTGGCATTCACCCAGGAACTCCAGGCTCTTCTCCTAAGGTCCCCATCACCCTTTGAAGAACTTGTGGGGATGCCGGCAGCATTGGCATCCACGCCTGGCTCACGGCAGTCCACCACAGGAGAGCGGACATACTTCCTAAACAGTGACCTGGTGGCAGATGGTGGCTCTGATCCAGGACAAACTCAGAAGCCAGCCTGTCAGTAGGCCTTATCCAAGAAGGAAGGAGCTTCACCGATTTTTATCTCTGGCGTGGAATCTATGTAGTAATTACATTTGCACACAAAAATGTGCTTCCTCTTATTTCTCTCAAAACATGTATTCTTTGTCGGCTGTTTCTTTTGCATTGCACGTCTCGTTTTCCTGTTAACGCCACAAGAAAAGCAACAGTGCCTGAGCACCAACGTGTATGACAACTGATATTTGGCTTCACTGTCAGGAAGACAATAGGGAATGGTGAAGACTGTGACAAACTAAAGCTCTAAAGAGCAGACTCCTGTTCATCTCTGGCTGATATTTTTGCCATCTGATAAAATGTCATATTTTCAAGACAGGTGGCTTATTAGATTTTTGTGTGAAACACTGCTATTTTTAAAAGCTGATAAATTAAAAAACATCTCAAAGTATTGAGTGAGTCAAGTAAGACACATCTATCCAGGGGCTGGATCCCACTTCTCTAGTTTCTGATTGACTCCAATTCCATCTGCTGTCAGATGGGGAAAGTGAGGCACAAAGATATTAAGCGATTTAGCTGTCATGGAACCGGAAGCTGCAAAGCCTCATTTTTAATTCCATGATGGATACTAGAATTTAATTCATTTCCTTTGCAAACTGGGTGTGTTGGGGGGGAGGGGAGAGAGAGAAAGAAAGAGAGACAGAGAGATGAAGGAGGGAAGAGAGAGTGTGAGAGAGACAAAAGAGAGAGAAGAGAGTACATGTATGCATAAGCATGAGTTGAAGGTGGCCAGCAAGTGTTTCTTTTAAAATGCACTTGACCAGATTGACTCCTCAGCTAGTGTGAAATATAAGCTGCTAGTTGAAAGGTTGCCAGTTTGAGTCTACTCAGAGGTGTCTAGGAAAGAGGAGCCAGCCACCTACTCCCAAAAGTCACCCCTGGAAACCTACAGAGCCCAGCTATGCTCTGACACACACCGGCCTGGCGGTGACTGTGCTAACTTCTCCTCAAGGGCACCTGTCTGACAGAGAGATGGCTCTTTCTTTGGAAGGAGTGACTCAAAATCACTCCTCTCTTGACATGGAGAGACCACACTGCCATTCCCTTTGCAACTACAGGATAGTGGGGTTGCTGCATCTCACCAACCAGACTAGTGGAGTGTTGTTGTTACATGCTGTCAAATCGCCTAGGACTCATAGCAACCCTTTGTACAAGAGCCCTAAATACTGCACTATCCTGTGCCAATCTTATTGTTTCTGACACACATACCCCCTTTACCCTAGTCACTGAATCAATTCATTTCATCCAAGGTCTTCCTCTCTTGTGCTGTCCCTGCTGTCAGAGACTTCTCCAAAGTACTGAAGAGCAACAATACCAGTCTGGAGACTAAGATGCACCTGATACAGGCCATAGTCTTTGCAATTGCTTGCTATGCTTCAGAAAGCTGGACAATGACTAGGGATGACAGGAGAATTGATGCCTTTGAACTGTGGTGTTGAATAAGAGTACTGAATGTACTAAGGACTGCTAGGAGAACAAGCAGGTTCATCCTGGAGAGGGTGAGGCCAGGCTGCTCCTTGGAGGCAAGGATTCTGAAGCTTTATCTGACATACTCTGGACATGTTGTAAGGTGGGACCAGTCCTTGGAGAAAGACATCATGCTTGGGAGGGTGGAGGGAGAGCACTAGTGGAGCACTAGTCCCTGATATTAAACTGTTCTTCAGAGTCTTTGTGCCAACTTCCCTGTTTCATGCTGGGCCTGGGGGGATGATGAACAGGGGGATTGTCCAAAATATATTGTTGTTAGCAGGAGGTGCAGGCTAGGAGTGGTGCAGGGTGAAGTCTGTGGGGAGGTAGCTAAGTGCCAGGCTCCAAGTGCAGCGAAGTCCATGTGGCTCAATACACTATCCCCACCCAGGTGTGGTTTCTCATCTGGATGCAGGAAGGTATTTGCAGGATCCACCAGGCTGCCCACACGCCATCTAAGCCCTCACTTGCCCCGCCTGCTGTTGGCTCCGTGACCTGGAGCAGGTCACCTCTCCTCTGTACCTCTGGCCCCACTGTCCAGTGGCACTACTCCACAGGTCACGTGAGGACGGTGTGCATTCACAGAGGAAAACACAGAAGGCAAGTCTGTCCCATTAAGTGCTGTGGGAGTGTGTGTTAAATAATCACAGATGATTAAATTAACAGCCAGGCACAGATGTTTTTCCAGCTCCTTTCTATCCTTAAGGCACCCCAGACTCTAAGCTCAGAATGATTTGTGATTTTCTGGAGCATGTCACGTGATTTCGAACCTCCTGGCTTTTTTTATGTGTTATTTCTTCTGCTGGGCCTGCTGGTCAACCCCCCGCATCCCTCAAGACTGGCACACACATAACCTTTGGTCAGCATCGTCCTGAGCTTGCAAAGCATCATGTACACCCCTAGGCCTAGGGCACAGGCTCACCACACTGACTGAGCTCCCCTCGACCGGCTGAGGGTGCCCCAGTTCCACTCTGCCCAGTACCTGGATCTGGATCTCATCGGAGAGCTCCTTGGCAAGGCCGTGCAGCTGCCCAGCTGTGGGGTCCAGGGCCTTAACCACCACCTTCAGTCCAGTCCGGCCTTTCGTGCGGCCGTGCACATTCATGGCGAAGTTGTACTGTGATGGGAGCTGGATTGATGCCTTGAACAGACAGCAAGAGATCTCTGAGACGGGACAGGTCTTTTTATTTTTTTTAATCATCATGATTTTATTTCATTAACTATGTGGAACATTGCTTACTTATCTACTTCTTATTTTTTAAATTGAGATTTTAATGAAATATATATAAAGAACTTGGATTTCCCTTCACATTCATTGCTGCACATTTTCCTCCCTGTCCCCCCGGCCCCCTATTTCACCTTTTTCTTTGGAGAAAACATTCTTTCATTGTTAAACAGTCTCTGCTTCCCGCCCCCCCCCTTTACTATGCAGCTCTTATTCTGGACTCTTTTCATGCCAGTAATACCTAATTATATATTCCTTTTATACAGTTCTCTCCCTCGTCTGTTTCAATGCCATATACATTATTTATCCCCTCTTTTCTTAGTTTCCCCCCAACCTCCATGTCAGTCCTGTTTTTTAACAGTGGTATTATATAGTATTTGTCTTTTTGTGACTGAGATATTTTACTCAGCATAATGTCCTCCATGGTCACCCATTTTGTGTATTTCATGAGTTATTTGTTTTTCAGTGCTGCGTAATATTTCACAGTGTGAATATACCACAGCTTCTCTATCCATTCAAGGGACAGGTCTTGAGGGCAACCCCAGGGTCCCAGCCTCCAAGCCTGATAGTTGCCTGCCTGCTTGGAAGCTACTGCAGTCCCTGCCCAATTAGGAAGAGCAGTGCAGACCCCAGCACGAGAGCAGCGCACCCCATGCTGCATATACGATGTCTAAGGGTGTGTGGAAAAGCAGACTAGCTTCCTTATGATAGGATCTCAGCACCAGGAGGTGTGTGTCCTAGGGTTTGTAGTATTTCTGCAACAGAATCCACAGAACTTTTCTGACTGTCTCATGCGTTACTTTTTTTAAAGGCTGTTGTTTTTGCTGGTTTCTGTTCGGTTCTCTGCTGTGACTAGCAAGTACCTCTCTTGCTATGGGGCACTTGTTAATAGGTCACATTGCTAGTGAGCATGGAAGCAGTGGAAAGCACACCAGGTAGTGGGCGCAAGGACAGGATGGGAAAGGGGCTGTCACCCTGCACTGGATGACTTCAGGAGACCCATCCTGTGCCTGTCCCCTTCCTAAGGATCCCACCCTCACTGTCCAAGGACAAAGAAGAAAGAGCCCCTCAGAGCAGGCCCTCCACCAGGGGTTCTCTGGGATAATGCCTGGCCTGTGACAGAGTCCAGTCAGCAGGCCCAGCTCCCAGCACGGGGTCCCCATAGTGTGGCACTGCAACCCTGGTTGAATCCTAGCCCTTTCTGGACTTAAATTAGCACAGAGGGGCTTGACGATCTCCAACTCTCCAGCACAGAGACTCTGGGGTTTTGCAGAACCTCTGCTGAGGGTGAAGGGGAGGAGTCTACTGAAGCTCTGTGGTAAAACTAGGGACAATCCCAAGGTGCCAAATGTTATCCCAGGAAGGGGGTCAGTAGAGGACACTAAAGAAAGGGTGACAGAAAGAAACTATCTTTGATGGTTAGCAGAGAGGGAGAGAGGAGGAAAATGCCAGTGACTAGACCTTTGACACTTATGAAGTTGGGTGAAAGAGAGGCAATGTCCAACAAGAGAGTGAGCAACATAGTCCCCTAAGGAAGGGGGGCCACAGAGAGGTGCACAGGGTGCTGGAGAGACCTTGCTCTTAGATCTGATCAGGATCTAGAGATGAGGAAGGGCCTGAGGTGTGGGGAGGATATGGGAGAAGGTAATTTGTAAGTCCCTAGAGTGGAGAGGGTGCTGATGAGAGCTGGGTAGTGAGACCGAGCAAAGCTGTGCTAGGCAGTGATGCAGGCCAGTTACCTCGTGGTGTCGTCCTCGGATGTCTAGGATGTCCCGTTTGGTGACAGACCAGTAGAATGTCAGGCCTGGCACAGCGTTGCCAAAGGAGAAAGGGTTCTGGCTGCTGGTGATCCCGGTGATATAGACTGGCATCTGTGGGGAGAAGCCAGTCCCTGTGACCCCAGGCAGGCTCACTTCCAGGGCCTTGCCAGGAGCGCCTTGGGGCAGCACCTGACGGCTCTCCACAGCCTATAGCCAGCAGCTCGCGCAATCCCTCCCCAACCAGAGAAGGGTGTGGCCCAGGTGAGGGAAGCTTTGATGAAATATCAGAGTCCCACAAAAGGGAGGCCTAGTTATCACCTGCCCCAGTGTGTCCCCCAGGGCAGGGAGCCCCATTTCTAGACTTCATCCTCAAAGCCTAGTAAGCACAACATGCTCCACCTGCAGCCTCTCCTTCCCATCTACCAGGTGGCCCCTGTCACATGATGGTGGCTTGGGTGGAGATTACACCTCTAGAGGGCACCTGGGGACACAAGGCAGCAGAAGGTAAAGCTGTGGGGAGCCAGGCTGCCTGGGTGCATACCTGGCCCCACTACACAGTAGCGGGACGCCCTGGGCAGGCACCTGAGCCTTTCTATGGCCTACTCCCTCCTCTCTAGCGTGGACAGCAAGAGGCACTCCACAGAGGAAAGCCCCCACAGATGCTAGTGCCTGCTTGTGCCAGGTGCTGGTCTCAGCGTGGGCAGGTGAGAGTCGAGCAGAGAGACAGGCATTAGTAACCACAGCCTTAGACCACAGACAGAAATGCTAGAAACAAATGAGCTTTCCACAGGGGAAGCGGAAAACAAGAGAACAGGCACCTGCTGGGTCTGGAGCAGGAAGCTCTGGGAGGGCTGCTGGGAGGAGCCCCACAGCTAAACTAAGGTGAGCAGATAAACAGCAAAATGGTTAGAGTGCTCGGCTGTCCCCAAAATGTCGGTGGTTTCAAAACCGCCAGATGATCTGCTTCCTTAAAGTCTCAGATCCCATGGATGGCTCTACTCTGTTCTATGTGGTCCCTACGAGTCAGAACAATCACAGGTTTGGGCGTTTTGGGTTGGTTTTTTAGTAGAGGGAAGAGCATGGGAAAAGGCTCAGCAGTGGGGAGAGTGCAGCCTCCTTGAGCTCATGGTGACTTAGAGCCCAGAGGCTGCTCTGAGAGCATGATCCGGAGGCTGCAGGGGGTCCACCTCACCTGGGTCCCTGTCCTCATCCGCGTGATGGGGGCTCGGATCCTCACTGCCCGGAGCTGCAGCACCTCCACCTCCACACGATCCTAGGAAGAAGGCTGGGTGCTCAGGCTGGCTGTGCAGAGGGTGCTAGAGACAGGTGGTGTAGGAGGGGACCTTCCACGGGGAGGAGGCCTCTGCTGTCACACTGCCAGCAGGCACCCACAGGCTTCCCAGCACAAAGCTCATCTTCCTTAGGCAGCCGGGCCCCCACGTGGCTTGGTCTCTGCCTCGCCAGCCCCTGGGGTTCCCAGACTGGGCTTCTGGGTACCCACACCCACTAGCTCCAGGAGCAACTGGTCAGCACTGCAGAGACTTGGGGGCAGTGACAGACTGGACTGCTCTGCTCTGGGCTGGCATTCTTAGCTCTCCACAGCACGTGTCTCCAGCTCCTCCAAACTCCAACCTGGCCTGGCTCTCTGACAGATTAACAAATAAATCTATGCAGGATCCTGATAAAGTTTGACAAGAACAGACTATCTTTTCCTTCACTCTGAAATCTATATTCTTAGCTATCTGGGCCCAACCCAATTTTACTGGCTGCTTGATGAATTGTGCTCAACTTGGGCTACCAATGTTCTCAAATAATTTTTTAATATATGTTCATGCGTAGGCCACCTCTAGTGCCCTTGGGCCACTCTGGCACATACTATATGTCCAATTAGCATTTGTGTCCTGCCTATCCTGTCCTCCTCCCTACTTGGGCTCTCTTGATTAGTCCTGACCTATCTGTTGGCACTGTGACCTGGACTGGACCAACGGCTGGAAGCATCTGATTGGAACCACATGGTCGTCTGAGTCCCAGCCCAGCTGGGTCCATGCCTTTTGGAAGGAGCCAGTGGCACAGCCCCACCAATTGCCAAGGGGCAGCAAAGCCCACCTCTAGCAGGTCTCTCCATCCATCAGATGGGAGAGCTGGAGTGGGAGTGACCATGCTAGGTGAGCCCCAAAGCAGAGAGGAAGGTGGGAGGGAAAACACATTATTCAGTGTTAGATTTTCACGAGCTGACCTTTCTGCTTCTTAAACAAACTCACTGCTATCAAGTTGCAACCAATTCCAAGCCGACACTCCAGCAGACTTTCAGAAGCAGAATGCTGCTCTGGAGAGACTGCCCATCTTTTGTCTATCGAGTAGCTGGTGGATTCAAACCACCTACCTTTGGGTTGGCAGCGCAGCTCCTTGTCCATTAGGCCACCAGAGCTTTCTACTTAGCTACTTGTTGTTATGCATCATCAAGCTGGCACTGATTGAAAACCAACCCTCTAGTGGGCTTTTAGAGGCTGTCAATCACAACGGAGGAGCCAGCTCATCTTTCTCCCACGAAGCAGCTGGGAGACTTGAACTGCAAGCCTTTGGGTTGGCAGTGCAGCTCTTTAACCATGAGACCATCAGAGCTCCCTCCCCAGCTACTTACGCCTCTGGAAAAGAAAAAATTATTCCAAAAACCATGTCTTTAAAGACAAAGAGGCAGGGCTCCCCATGGTCCTGAGTTTTATGCTCCAGAATGCCCAGCTGCACACGGCTGGACGCCAAGGAGCTAACTGTAGCATTTGCAAAGCTTTCTAGTTGTCTTTATAAAAATCATCCATCTCAGCAGTTCAAAGAGACACTGTGTTTTAAGCAGGACACTTGAAGGCGGACACAAACACTGCCGGAAAAGGGAGTAACTGAACAGACTCAATGTCAGGTCCAAGTTACCTCAGGCAGGCGTGCCCCTCCCAGCTCACGGCACCCTGGCCTCCGCATGGTGCTTGTCAATACTCCCATGTGGCTTTCAGAGCACCTGGTTCTGAATGAGGGCCGGGCTGGGTAGCCTGGATTTGAACCGAGAGCCTTTAGGATTGCAGCGCAGGCTCTTACCGCTAGAGCTCCTGACATAGTCATACGGTTGTTGGTTCTGTGCAGAACAGAGCTGTGTCCTAAGTGTTCAACGCTGTGCTGTTCTGGAAGTGATCACCAGGCTTGTCGTCCTGGGGTGGATTCAAATGGCCAACTCTCTGCTTAACAGCTGAATGTGTTATGTGTGTCTTAAGAAGTTATACCACCCTGAACCCTGCCCACCATGGGTGACCCTGTTAAGTATTCAAAATGCTGCATCAACATGAAAGCCACCTCAGTGGATGGAAACACGGACTAGCCCACAGCTCTACCCGGCACAGTGCTAGTCGCATTACATCAAAGAAAACGTTGCTCTTCCTGACCAGGCCGGCGTCGGCAAAGCTGGGAGCAGGGTGTCCACAGTGGCCGCCTGGAGAAGCTGCTGCTCTGGAGGTGCACCTGAGGCCTAACGCCCCTTTCCCGGATGGGGGAAGGGTTCACTCATCTCCTTTCCAGAGGAAAGTGTCACATCTTAGAAACGTTTGAGGTTTTTCCTCTGGATGTGGGGTAGGGAGGTCACCCTGGGGAGGAGACCCCTCAAGGTGACTGGAAATGTCCTCTGTGGCAGCACAGACACTAGGGAGATGACTGAATGGCCTGTTGAGCACAGGGTATCAGTGGACACCACTTGGGTTTCCTTTTACCCTGGGGAGCAGTCATCCGGTGCTCACACTGCTTGTCAAGGATGCCTGTGAATGTTTTCAAGCCTGTGAGGAATCCTGGGCAGACACAGGTCGATAAAGCGCATCAGAGCCAGGACTATCCCGTCCTCCTCCCTCCCAGGCTTCTCTGCGCGCCCTGAACGCACAAGACCAGGAGCTAACCTGGTCACAGGCAGCCAGGGAATCCCTTGCCTCCGGCCCCTGCTTGCATACGGGATGGTGGTGACCTGCACATTGGGACTGTGAGACTGACACATGGTGGAGGTGAAATGCTCAGTGCAGTGTCTGCCACCCCCATCACGGCCATCTTTATGTACCAAGACAGGAGGGAGAAGGTTGCAGGGTATGCCCATGAGGAGGGGCTGAAAGTCAGAGGGCACTCAGCCTGGGGCAGCAGCTCTGAGGGCTGTAGATTCAGGAACCCCAAGGAGGTGGTCATGGGGAGGCAAGTCCCAAGCGTGACAAACAGGGCTGTCTCCAATCACAGGTGACCAAGCACAAACGACACGGCCCAGGGGGAGCGGACCCACATGCAGTTGTGGAAGACCCGAACTCAGCTCCTTACCTGAGACACCACCACGACCTTGCCCGTCTCGGCGTCCACGGCCTGCACGACCCCCTCGACGGTGCCATTGCCCACGGCGAGGCCTTGCACCAGCCCGGTGCTGCTCACTGCTGCCAGGCTCGCATCACTGATGGAGAACAGGATGTTGGACTGAGGCTGGGGGCCGCCCTCTGAGGTGATCTGGAATGGTCGGAGACAGCAGTGCTCATCAGGGATGCTCCCACATGCCCCCTGCACTGGGCACTCCCAAGCCCTGGCAAGACTCTACAGGGGAGGAAGGCAGATAGGTGGCTACCTGCAGCGGAGGAGGGTGGGCAGGTCACAGGGGTTCAAGGGAAGGGTGACTTCTTGGTTCTTACCTGCATGGTGGCTCCAATGATCAGAGTCACCTTCCTGGGTATCAACCTGAATGGGGGGAACACCTGGAGTGGAGACAAGATGGAAAGGTTTGTTGTGTCCCAAGCCCATTTCTGACTGTTTGAAGGAGGACACTCAACGTAACAAAGTGCTGGGCATTGATGAGAGACCTCAACTCTGGGAAGGCCGCAGGGTGGCCAGGCTGGTGGTGCAGGCACCTTGGGATGGTGCCTCACAGGGCCTTCCAGGGCCTCTGCCGCCCACCGAGCCCTGCGCTGCCCAGGAGCGCGCTCTGCCTGCCGTCTGCAGCTGCTGGTAACTGCACTTCATCCCACCGCAGCTGTGGAGTCTGATGTGAAGAAGCACTTCTATTCATTCATCTGAGTCTCCTGTGGGACACCTTGGAGCCGAGCTGTGCTCACAGCATGGTGGCGGCCGCAGTGTCGCATGGGAACTTGAGGGCTCCCTATCTTCCCAAGTGTCTCCAAATCCCTGCTGACAGGATGCATCGGAACAGCTCTCTGCTTCAACTCTCATCTTCTCAGAGGACGAGAGAGGTTCAGGGTGCCAGAGCCAGGGAGGAGACTGCCCCAGCTCCGTCCTCTCACTTCCCACACCCCCACTCCCCGCTGGCAGCTTTAGAAACACCTGCTGGGCCAGTGAGTGCCCTAAGAGAGTGGTGAGGTGCGGGCTGTGTGGGGTTGTACTACTCACAGGCAGAGAGGAATTCCTCATCGCCAGGAGAAAAGCACCCCTTCATCGAGCGTTACAAATGGCAACACACGGCTTAGGAATGTGGACGGAGAGCACCTGCCTGCACCCGTGTGAGACCCAGCTAAAGCTGCTTGCTTTGGTGCTGCTGCTGAGTGACCCTGGATGTGCTTCTGGCTCCTGTTAACACTAATACTACATGGCAGCCCCAAGTCACACAAGGGGACTGGAGCCCTCCTCACGACTGCCTCTTGGGTTGGCAAGGAAAGTGGGAGAGTTGCTCCCCATGTGCAACACCCAAGGAGCACCTGCTTAGCCACGGCTCTCTGAAGACAGCTTCTCTGTCCCCTTCACCCTGTTAGGACTTCAAGGGTGGTTCTGCCACTCCTTGCCACGTGACAAGTGACTGTCCTGCTCTGAGCCATACTGCCCCTCCTGTCACAGGCTGTCTGTGCTGGTCCAGACTCTTGGGACTATTAAAAGCTGCCCTTTGATGAAGGACATGGAAGGACATTGATTTTAACGTGGTCTCTCTATGGTGGCTTCTCAGACTGTCTGTCCCTAACAGTCCCATACTATCACAGGAGAAGTATGCGTGCCCCCCATCCCCTCTCCCACCGAGTCCCGCATAAGCATCGAGGAGAAGGAAGTAGTCTTACTTCAATCTGCTGCGGGGCTGAGCTGATTCTCTGTCCGGCTTTATCAGTCACTGTTGCAGTCAGGCTAGTCTGGCCAATGGTCACCCCGTGGATCAGAAAGGCGGCGGTGTAGTGGTCCAGGGCTTCATTGAGGGCCCTGGAATAGAGGCAGAGGCGGGGCTTCTCATCCCCGACAGACCAGGGGGAAAGGCTGAAGCGAGGGTCACATAGTCCCCTGAGACCCACAGCTCTGAACCCGGGGAAAACTCACACCAGCGTGACAATCTGGGAGGCTGCTTGGAGTTTCAGGTCCATAAAGGCAAAGTACTTGGCCAGGAAAGGCTTCTTGTCAAAGTCCAGCACGCGCACGTACGCCTTGACTGTCTTCCCAATTTCCACCTATATCGTGGTGGAGGGAGACACAGAGAGAGGCTCTGAATGACACCTGACAACTATCTTAGAAAGTACCACAGGCTCAAACTCACGGGCCTGGGAATCGAGGCTGAGCCACCCCCCAGTAACGAATGGAAATGACTAAGCGCTTGTTGTTAGATGCCATCAAGTTGAATGCGACCCTGTGAACAACAGCTCTGAACCCTGTCCTATCCTGTACCATCCTCATCTCTGACACACAGAGCCCATTGCTGCAGTCACTGTGTCACTCCGCCTGGTGGAGGGACTTCCTCTCTTTCGCTGATTCTTCACCTTTACATGTACAAAAGCTTTGAAATACTGCACAAACCACATTCCTTGCTCTCAACGGGAACTCCCCTGTTCACTCCCACTGTGCTATCTGCTCAGGAACATGAGAACTGGGTGGTAACCTCTCCAGGACGAGCCTCAGTTACCGTATGGATCTGGAACAGAAACACCTCATTTCACATGAAAGAAAAAAACTAAACCTGCTCATCACTTAGCAGAAGTCCTTGCTATTAGAAAGCTGACTCAATTGCTCCCGAATTTCCTGAGAAACCAAAACCAATTCTGGGGAGAGAACTCTTTACTCAGCCCAGGCCCATGGCTGACTGAGACGCACAGCAGAGGAAGGGCACTAGTCCCCGCTAAAGGCTAATTCAGAGATGGCTCTGGGCAGGACGCGTGGCCACACTCTAGAGGTCACCATGAGGAGGAAATACCACCTCAGGGGTCACTCTGCTCCACCCACAGGGGGACAGTGGTAGTGAGTCGGCCCTTGGGCGTCCCAGGACAGGGTCAGAGACACTAAAGAAAAACAAAGGGGAAGTCCAGCAGCTCCGTCTCCTTGCCCAGTGGGCTAAAGAGAAGGACCCCCAGTCATACAGTCAGCAAATTAGCTCACCTTGTCCACCACCCGGATGTACAGTTCCTGGATGTCTGAGATGGAGATTTCAGCCTTGGCCGGGGCCGGGAAGGCCAGGCACAGGTCATGGATCATGACAGCAAGGGTGCCCGGGAGCAGCGGGTGCACCTGGAACAGCAGAGAGGCTTTGGTGAGGTGACGATGACAGAGGAACAGAGAGCAAGTCTGAGTTCATCCTGTGCCCAGGGTCTGGAGAGGCTCCATGCCTGACTCCATCAGTGTCACAGGATGCCATATCTTAAGGGACTTCAGGACAAGCACTGGAAGTAGAGAGCAAGGAACGTTCTAACCAAGCATTGCCCTGCCCACCTCACATCACATGGACTTGAAAGGTAAAGTGCTGGGGTGGAACTCAGGGAGTATTTATTTCACACGGCAGTGCTGCCAAGGCAGAGGAATGTGGTTTGAATCCACCAGCTGCTCTGTGGGAGACAAACAGGCATCTTCTCCCATGCCATTGACTGCCTCTGAAAACACGCTGGAGCGTCAGCTGAGTCAGTTCCCACTTGATGATACACATACGTGACATGACAAAACGTGATACAATAGAACATCTTACAAGAGGAGGGAAATAGACATGCAGCAGCTTGGAGGGAGACTCCAGACTCGGATTTCCCTGTGTGACCCAGCAGCCTTCTCCTGGAACCCCATAATCAGCACAGCACTGGAACCCCCACATGAAACAGCAAGTCAGGTTTCACAGCATCCTGCTTTCCAGATGATCTTGTTTAGAACTCACAAAATCTGAGCCCAAGCCATAGAGGCCCTGAGAGCATGTGGTCTCTGAGTCTTTTTCATCTCTGTAGCTCAGCCTTATTTGATGTAGAGCCCTCATAAGGGAACTGAGTAAATGAACAAATCCGCACTAGTGTGCTCCAGTCTTTGCACTGCCAAGTCTCCCTTTCATCCTCTTTTCTCTGTTCCTCACAGAGCCCACCTTTGAAAGTCTCTCCTCTAACCAAATGCATCACGGCCACTCAGGCTGGAGGTAGCCGGCACTCATCTTCATCTCCTTCACATGCACTCACAGAGGCGTTTTGTAACATAGAGGCCTGGATGTCTAATGAGTGGACCATGATGCTGGAGCAGGTAGGGACAAGCTACCGAACCAGTGAGATGTCCACTCGGGTGCCCACATGTCCATCTGGGCCTGCCTCTGCGGCTTGTTGTTGGTAGGTAGGTAGTCTTGCTACCTTGTTGTTCTATGTGCTGCCGAGTCAACTATGACCCATGGCGACCCTACGAACAATAGCTCTGAATCCTGCCATATCCTGAGCCAATCTCACTGTCTTTGACACCTCTGCTGCCATTACCACAAGAAATGAGTCGATCCATCTCATCTGGGATCTTCCTCTCTTGCACTGACTCTCTAACCTACTAAGCATGATGTCCTTCTCCAAGGACTGGACCCTCTGGCCATGTGCCCAAAGTATGTGAGATGGAGTTTTAAAATCCTCGCCTCCAAGACGCAACCTGTTTCACCCTTTCCAGGACAGACCTATTAGTTCTCTTGGCAGTCCATGGTATGTTCAAAACTCTTCTCCACACCACAACTTAAAGGCATTGATTCTTCTTTGGTCATCTTTAGTCTTTGTCCAGCTCTCAGATGCACAGCAAGCAACTCATGGCCTAGGTCAGGTACAACTTAAGTCTTCAGTCTGACATCATTTCTCTTCAGCATTATGGAAAGGTCCCTGACAGAGACTTCCTAAAGCAACTCTTCTTTTGTTTTCTTGATTGCTAGTGCCATCAGTGTTGAGGAGGATCTGAGCAAGACGAATCTTTCCTCCATTTATTATGATGCTGCCTATAGGCCCTGTGGGTGAGAATCTTTCTTTGATGTTGAGATGCAATCCATATTGAAAATTGCAGTCCTTGACTTTCTGCAGCAAAGGCTTCAAGTCCTCCTCAGTTCTGGTGAGCAAGGTTGTGTCATCTGCCTAATGCAGGTTGTTGACGAGTCTTCCTCCAATCCTGGTGCCACATTATTCTTCATTAAGTCTAGCCTCCTGAGTATCTGTTTCATATATAGATTGAAAAGGTACAGAGACAGTATATATCTCTGATGCACTCCTTTCTTGATTTTAAATCATGCAGTGTTCCTTTGCTCTGCTCAGACAACAGCTTCCTGGCCTAGGTATAGGTTTCACATGAGCACCATTGAAATGTTCTGGATTCCCATTCTTCTCAAGGTCAGCCACAATTTGTTGTGATCCACACAGTCAAATGCCTTTGCATAGTCAACAAAATCCAAGTAGACCTCCTTCTGGTGTTCCCTGCTTCAGCCAAGATCTATCTGACATTGGCAATGATGTCCCTTGTGCCACAGCCTCTTCTAAACCCAGCTTGTATCTCTGTCAATGTACTGTTCTAGTTTTTGGATAATCGTCAGCAAGATTTTGGTTGCATGTGCTATTAGTGCTACTGTTTGATAATTTCCGTACTCTGTTGGATCACATTTTTTGAGAATTGGAATAAATACGGATCACTTCCAGTCCATATTCATTCTTCCAGTCCCAGTTGGTGGTCTTACAGAGGGCTTATTTTTGGGGTGGGAGGGTAGTACCATGTGTACAGCAGGCAACAGCTTGAAAAGTCAGAATTCAGGACACACTCACAAAGGTCAAGAACTTGTACAGAGACCACAAGCTTTTGACTTGAAGGGGATCAGCCTGTAGGACCTCATCATACCAGGTGCAAGCTGGGCTCTGGATGCCCACTAATCTGAGGGGGCCAGGTCCCAGATAACCCCACAGAGTGCAGCATGATCGTCCCGTGCTGGACTCAGTTCACCAAGCCCACATGCCCTACAGCCCAGCTCCCACCACACTGGCCTTATCCGGCTGGACTGAACCCTAACCTTTCTGTCAGTAAGTGAATTCATTAACCATTTGCACTTGTTGTTGATTGCCGTTGAGTCGAGCACGGCTCATAGCGACCCTAAGAAAGACCTGAAGCCTTTCTATAACTATTGTAATTTCTCAAAGTTCCCAGAGTTTCCAGAGGCATTTGTTTAGGAAGTGGATGCCAGAGAATTCTACAAAAACTCAATGAGGGGGAGCTCTGGTGGCCTAGTGGCAAGGAGCTGCAACTACAATCCCAGAGGCTCACGGTTCGAATCCACCAGATGCTCTGCCGGGGAAGGAGGGACAATCTCCTCCTGTACCAGTCAGATCTGATTTGATGGTACACTCACACACAAAAATGATAAAATTAAAAAAAAAACCCTCAAAGAGCTCACTTCCATCAGATCGGTTTACACACAGACATAAACAATCACGGCGTGTTGATGGGGATGGAAAGAGAGGAAGAGAGGAGCAGAGGTTAGTGGATGGGTGGGGGGGTAGGGGAAAAACAAGAAGTAGAGAGAATTTGATGAGATGTTGTCATGAATGGCAATTATCAACTGTAGAAAAAAACAACCCCAAAAGACAGCTTATCACCATCTAGTCTGAACCTACTCCTAGCTGACCCTCCCATGGGTTTTCAGGAGGCTGTAAATTGCATGGAAGATTTCCTGTCTTTCTCCTGAGGAGTGGCTGGTGGATTTGAACCACCAGAGGGGTGATTTCTTAGGTTAGTGGTGCAATTCCCTTCACCTACCACCACCAGAGCTCCCCAGGAACAGCACCCCAGCAAACATGTCCTGATTAGAGACCTGAACTCCCTCTAACTGGATGAATGCAAAGTAGCCTGGTGCTTTAGCACTTTTTCCATTAAAATCAGACTAATTTTGTTAAAATGTAGAAATTCTTCAGTGTCACACCTGCAAACCCCAAGAACCTCATTGCTTGCACAGTGCTGATTTGGGCCCACCTTTCAATGCATAGGTAATGCAGGTGGGATAGGAACCTGGCTTGGGTACCCAGCTGTGATGGGGAGGAGTTGGGGAGAAGCCTGGCTTCTGGCCAGGGTGCCCTCCTCCACAGGCCACTTCCCCTAGTGGGGTGTGCTTGAAGCCCCCAACTCCTGAGTGAACAGAGGCTGGAGGGGAAATGGCCAGGTTAGCAGATGGTGGAGTGCTGGCAGGGAGCAGCTGGGAGCTGCAAGTTGGCAGGGATAACTCAGTTCAGAAGGCATGCTCACTCCAAAGAGAAGACCTGGGCTCTCTCCCCAGTGACTGCGCACAACAATAAAGACCCCGGCGTGGAGACCACACTCATGCTCCAAAAGGATGGCTGTGCAATTGCAGCCGTCACCTCGACAACCTGGGATTAAGTACAAGCTGAGGAGCTGGGCCTGCGAGCCACCAGGTCTCCGCTTCCGCTGAGGCCAATCTGCCCTGGCTTTATTACATCCACAAAGAAAATCATTTGAAAATTGCTGAGAGAATGAGCTCTCTTTGAGAATGCAATCTGAGTCCCTGATTTGACACTCTTGCAAAAGTTACTGCTGTCAGAGGCGGCCAGCCCTTCATAATGCAAAGAAATTACATGGTGCACCTACCGTCGGCGGACCCACGCAGCAGAAAGCTTGGGGGTGGGGGGTGGAGAGGGCTGGCTGGCTGGCTTTCTTCTTCTCTCCATCAAAAGGACCATTTTAAACAATGACACAAACTGGTGGGAAAATCAATTCCTCTCTTCCTTTAATTTCCTACTGAATGATATCCAGTCATCTTCTGGATGACAGAACAGAGGTGGGGCCACCACTAACAGAGGCCCCTTGGCCTGACCTGCCCCACAGGATTATGTAAACCAGCTGCTGTCAGGTCAACAAATCCTGTTGACCCCACGCATTTCCCAGAGCAGCTGCCTTCTCTAAGGTTTCTGGTGGCAGGTTTTTCAGAAGTAGAGTGCCAGGCCTTTCTTCTGAGGCACACATCCAACCTTCTGGTCAACAGCTGAGCACGTTACTGCTTGTACCACCAGGGACTCTGCATGTATACACACATCAATTCGTTAGTCTCACAGCAACAATTAAGGGAGAGCTCACTCCAGCCACCTTAGAGATGAAGAATTCGCGTTTGTGGATGCAAAGAGAGGGGGCTTCTCAGCCAGCTGCTGGCAGGTAGGGGTCTGAACCTACTCCTATCACACCCTCTTCCTTCCCAACAGGGTTTGGGGCCCACTCGACTCTATCAGCACAGGAGGGAACACGTGGGGAGAAAA